TCGGTCTGTGATAACAAGTGATTACAAAATCGGACGACAGCGAAGTGGGAGTCCGATTTAGTAATCACGACTGGGATAAAAGACCGAATTGGACAACAGGAAGTCCTATTACCAATTGATCATAACCATTACAATCTCCTTAAAAAAAACCAATTTATTTAGAAAAGGGCTTTCAAGATAAATTATTTTTTAAAAAATCTTCCTTTTTAAGGAATTCCCCAGCTCTGTTAGAGTAAGTGGTTACTGCTATGGTCGTTGTTATCAGTTCTGCTGGTGGATTTAGCTAAGTGGACTTACTATGATTGGCTGCTTTAACAGTCAGATTAAAGCCAACTGTACGATTACTCTATCCAATTACAACTCTACACGATAGTTAGTGAAAAACTAGCAGGTAATGCACCAATCACATTTTAGAAAATTGTAATGGTTGATTATAAATGGAAATAGGTAGTGTGAAGTCCACAATTTGATGCTTTTGCTAAGTTTTTACATTGTTGGGTCATTGTAGTATCTTGTTGTTGTCTTTATAATCCTTCTTGCGTTCTATTTTTCCGTTTTACTTAATCTCCTCACAATGTTGTGTTTCCCCATTTTTAGGTCGTCATGAATTTAAAATGAGCGGTGGCAGATTTGTGAAGAGGACAGATTATCCAAACGCCAAATGGGAGTAAAGCAAAATCAGTGGAATCTGGCTTGAGGTAGATCACGAAATCAACGCCCACATCGCACGCACAGAATGTTTTATATACATCACCATTTGCACTGATTCTGACAAAAAGGCACTCAAGCGTTAGGTGTAATCTAAGACAAATAAAGTTGACGATCAACTGTACTCTAGCCCCATTGTCTCTTTTGAAGGAAATCACCAAGACGATTAACTGACAAACTGAAAACATATCTCCTACTCGCCATTACTGAATGGGCGTTATCGTGATATCGGGTAATTTTAAAGGGTAGCCGAAGACCAGGAACATGTGTCTGGGGAATGATCTTGGCTAAAAACAGTATGATCTTATTTTTGGTGAGGCAATCAAAGGAGTCTGACTCAAAATGGCCATGAAGAGGCAATGTTACTCTGTTTTAACTGGTAGAACTCAAAATTTTTCGAAATCAAACTCAACTCAACTTAACCCAAAATCAACCCTCTGTTGTAATCAAACAAATGAACGTTGCTGAGACGAAACTGGTCGAAATACACTGTTTTGAAAATGCACGTGTGCTTTTCACCAAACAAAATAATGATTGTTTTTAAGTACTAGTTCTTCAAAGCACTCCTGTATATGAAGTGGTCCTTAGTAGAAGGCTGATCCATAGTTACCTCAAACAGAAAATATTTCTTTTGCG